AGTAGACATTGTAGTGCATAATTGAATGCGAAGTTTGTCAATACATACATACATACATACATACATATATATATATAGATATATTTATACGCATGTGTACACGCACACACATATACATATATTTATAACTTATATATAACACACACGCACATACACACACACATATATATATATATATATATATACATTACAATATGTAGGTAGTTCATATATTGGTTTTAGTATAGAAAGTGCAAGTAGGCTAAAGTTAAAATATCATACCGGGAAACTGGCATACTAGACACATCGCATTGTGGCTGATTATCGATACCTTAATTTAGTAGTCGGTTGAATGGACATTACGAGATTTAGGATATATTGAGTATAAACCAACCCATTTTGAATCTCGTATTTCTATAGAAATATTTCAAGTGTGTAAAGTTACCTGTGTGGTGCGAGTTGTCAAATCTACGACTGTCTATCGCCAACGGATATACAAATACCATTGTGTGCTACGAGCACAACTGTGTCTATCAGTATATAGCATGTATATCGCAAATAGAAATGTTATTGTAAATAAATTATGTATGCTGCGTACTATGTGTTTATGTAGTTCATAGCTTTCAAAGCTGAAACAGCTCTGCCACATGCATCTCCCTCTCCAAATATTAGAGTATGTTTTATCGCACGAGGCTGCGTATTTATTAGATGTGACGCATCATGACTGTCACTGTGTCACAAGTTCACAAGTCACAAGTCACAGGATCGTTTTATTTATTATCGATATAAGTGACAAGAATGAAGAAGCATAGCCTCCTAAATTCATAGCCTTCTACACAAATAAATTGCACATGACAAGTCTGCTGAGTGCCTCACATCCTCACTGCTGTCAAGTTAAAATGTCAAGTCATCGATTTCGCGGCTTCGCCATAAAGTGATATTTTATTACCAAAAAAGGAGGAAAAAATATTCACAAAAAAAATTACATAGCCTCCTATACAAAGAGAAGCATATTTTGTATTTTGTTTTTAGAAAATATATGATTTGTTTCGAACCACACAGAATGTAAATAAATCCCAGTACCAAACGCCGTCTCGCAGATCGTAATGATATGATGCCATTCTGAGATTCAGTCAGTTGTCAGTTGTCACCCACAAAACATACGCCAAGCGCTGCTGTTGATTTTTCTCAGTTTACAGCAAGAATACACGTGCGTGAAGAAACACATAGTGCACAACGTCGGAATACTTCTGTCAAAGTAGTCACATACCATACCAAAACATTCATCCTTTGGCAACATATCGATATCACTGATAGTACAACCAAACACATAAATACATTTAAGAGTAGAACGACTTAGAGTGGAGGCCTTTCCGTTAATAATACAGTGATACGGGGGTCGCAGCATTAGGCTAAATTACGCCAGAATGTTACGGATTCGGTCCTCGATTATCGTCGACATCTCGCACACAATAGCTTTGGATGTGTCATGGTGGGCAAGATGGCGGACGGTGAGGCTCTTGAAGGCACATAACGATCGGTATAATCCTTGCTCAGCCCTTGTGAGCTATGACATATCAAAGATATATCTTGTGAACGAATTCTCAAGCAATATGCGAGACATCTGCGCACGATTCCGAGTGTGGACAGCGCGAACAATATGATATCTCAGCGTTTCGCGTGAATAGATGAATATTGTACAAGGCTAGCGCATCTTAGCCATACAGGTAAAGTGTATGGGAGGGAGTGCTGTCACTCTCATAGTGATCTAAATAGAGATAATGGACTACTCAAGGAGCATAATCTGCCACGGACGTCCACAAAATAGTGAGTTCGCATGTCAGTACACGTGTATACTACAGGCGAGAATGACAGGTCGAATAGGGGTGACTCGGTCACGATCCATAGACTGGGTGATTATGAAGCCTCGGATGGTATCAATCTTACAGGTACCATCAGGCAGTGAGAGCCTGATCTGTTAGTAGTGTTGGGAAGTACGCCGGCCTTGTGCGGGTAGTAGCAATCCATATACTGTATATATAGAGAAACGTAGTTCTCCATAGACACACAATCGCACAGTTGGACATATTATTCCCAACAGTGTACAACTACAACACCACAGCATAACACTCAGAAATAGTATCAACCCTGCAGTACGTACCATATGTGGGCATGCATACTCTACGGCTTGATAGCCGCATTCTCAACAAGCGCCAATAGTCACGCGAGTGCTTCTCCGTCGGTGCTAGCACCAACAGAGGTTTCTGCTGCACCACGTGTAGTACAACTCAGACCATCGCCAACACCCGAGCCTTCACAGAAGACTAGGGAGTATGTTCTGTACCCTTTAGGACTCACTACGACACTAGGCACTACGCAGCTGCCTGGGAATGGTATCAAAGCACTGCAAACCACCACTGCCGTGTTGAATACAACACAAGCGGCGACTGATGCCAAGTTCTACGACGATTCCGTGTTCATGTCGTCGACGGGTACTCCGCTAGGCTACAGTGGTATCTTCACCTTCCAGGATAGTTCCATAAAATCTGAGCGTGTGACCGCTATCACTGCCCGTATTCTGTGGAACGGTCCGGACGAGTATAACCTATGGGAGTGTGCACTGCAACGTACAACTGGCACGGAAGCTCCCATAGTAGACAACCGTCTTGCTGGTGACTTCCTGTGGAGCGAGCTTGTGGGGAGTGTCAGTGATTCAGCCGATTCGTTTGTGAGTACCACGGGTGGGTTGTACATGCGATGCTTTACGAACGGTCCGAATGGGACGTACGATAACGCCTTTATTCACAGAATGGAGCTGTTGGTTGTAGAGGGAACTACTCAGAAAGACCCCCAGAAAGACCCCCAGCGTGTGGATGGGCTTTTTGCCTCACACTCAGCTCACCCCAAGTCTTTGTCTACGAGCATAGGCCAGGTTGTGGCGCCATCAGAGGGGATTCAAACATTAAGCACAGTCACAGGCAAGAACGAAGCTCCTCAAAATGTGTATGAGTTCCAGTCCAACGGCACTGTACGGAAGGGATACAGCGGCGTGTTCGTGTTCGATCTCCCCGCAGCTGGCAGAAACATCACGAGTGTCGCATTAACGTCCATGTGGCTGGGACCGGAGGGGGAGTGGAACAAATGGCAGTTCGCTCTGATGAACTTCCAGACGAAAACAGAGACAGGCGTACTTACCAATGACGGAGCTATCGACTGGAATTGGACCATGCTACAAGGTAATGCCACCTTCACATACCCGGAAGGTGGCTACCTTAATGGCAAACACGAGATGCATGTGCGATACTTCACCGAAGGTCCTGTAGGTACGTTCGACGACTCAGCTATGGACAGTCTCGAGCTCACGGTACATGAGAACGAAGTGCGACCCCCAAGACCCAGCGCACTACCTAAACCTGCGGTGAGTGCCCCCGCTATACCTGTGCGATCGTCTAAGGATTGGACGGCGGGTGTACGTGTATGTGGTATGAGTCTGAACATCGCGGTGGATAATGAAGCAGCATTGAATGCTAAGATTGACGAGTATATGCGGGATGGATGTTCGGTGGTGGAATTTGATACTGGCCTCTCGAACTTACACACCGACGCGCAATTCGCTCAGCAGGTGGCGTATCTGGCAATGGCATCGAAGCTCGCTAAGGGTGCTGGTCTACGATCGGTGATATACATCCCTTCACTAGAGGTGAACATACCAGGTGGATGCCTGAAAGGCTCAGGGGCACCCACAGAACTCAGTATGACTAACGATCCACAGAAGTCCACCTGGTTGCAGACTAATTTGGCCGGGATCAAGAACGTGTTTTGCGGTGAGTTGGAAGTGTGGGTGACTGCGGGGATGGAGAGTGCTTGGTTTGACCCCAACAATGAAGGTTTCAGAGCTTGGTTTCTGGGCAGGATACGTGATTTGGCCAAATCCACCGACCTCGACGGATATTGGGCTGATGTCCCCATGTTTAGCGATACAGCCGGCTCCTGGTTTGGCGCGGGGCCTGATTCGGACCGCCTGTTTGCCCTCTGGTCTAAGAAACAAGGACTCAACCAAGGAAAAGGGTACAGTGCCTGTCCCTCGGTACAGGATGCGGATAGTAGACAGCTCAACTATCGAGCGTGGCTGAGATGGAGACACGAGACTCTGGCGGATTGGCAGGAGAGTATACGGGTGGCAGCTGAGGAAGTACGGCCCACTTTCAAGGTGATCGCAGAGGTGTACCCCATGGATTATCTGGACCCACTTTGGACCGGTTTGGATGCGGTGCGGAGGAATGACAGTCTCCTGCGGGTGTGGGAGGTGGACTCGGTGTCCAACACCAACGGCATGGAGTACAGCACTAGGGAGGACTTTCGGACTAAAATAGCCCTAAACAAGTACGCACGCGCTGCTGACAGTGACACACCATCGTGGGTGTTTGCGTACGGCAACAAGGATCTTGATACAGGCTTGGTTATGGGTGCTGCGGTAGCGAGTGGGTGTGGTGTGTTTGAGTGCAAGACACCGTCTATGACCACAAGCGTAGGGAGTGAGTTCAGGCGACGCTGGATGACATGGATTGAGCGTATGGATGCTGTACTCTTCGATCGACCACGCAGAGCGGATGTAGGGGTGATACACTCTGCTGCTACCAGGAACCACTACGACCACCCGAATGGGGGTGCGTACGGCATGTATCTGGAAAGCACCAAGACACCCGCCACCGATGACTCGTGGTGGGCTGTGGCTGGACCTAATTCGTCTCTTATCAAGATGAAGCACGTTGGGGCGTACAAAGGTATGATGGGAGCCCTCACCCAGCTGCAAGTGCCCCATAAAGTCATCCTCGACCACACGGATGGTATGCAATCGCTAGAGGGACTGAAGGTGCTGATACTACCCTCTGTTGCGGCCATGTCCGAGGCAAGCGCAGTGAATATTCGATGGTTTGTGTATCGGGGTGGCGCGGTGTTTGCCACTGGGACTGTTCCTGGTACTTTGGATGAGGATGGCACTCCCCGCAACCAGTCTGTATTGGCTGATATGTTCCAGTTCGGTACTCAACCGGGTGCTGCTACACGGGCGCGTGTTAGTTCGTATGGTAAAGGGGTTGCGGTGTATCGCCCGGATATTGGAGTCCGAGAACTGTTTAACGGAGAGGCTGAGGCTGTGCCCGAAGGACCGGCGTCGGTAAGTGCACGTGCCAAGACTATGGATCAGATCAAGCTGTTCATACGCACTCACGTGGCTGAAGATGTTATCGTGCAGCGTCTTCTGCCGGACGGCACAACTGCTGCGACGACAAAGCTATACCTAGAGGTGGGTGAAGCGAGCACGGATAGTTCTACTCAGGCGTTGTACCTGCTGAACTTGGATGGGCTGAAGGTGCCAGTTATGACATCCCCCATGACCGTGCGCGTATACTATCGCGCCCCAGCTGGCACCCAACTCAAGGGTTCAGTTGGCGTACACAGCCCCGATGTATCGCAGTGGGTGGGAGGTGTGGTTGCACAGCGTGTGAATCAGCCGGGAAGTGCGTCGGAAGAGAGGGCAGAGGCTTTGTTGGGTTTATGGTACTACTTTGACCTGACTGTGGACCAGTTCTCAGTGATGGTGGTGCATCTGGAACCGTGCACCCCGCCCACTCTACCAGCGGTGTCAGCACCTCTACTTGCTGGCGCGTGGAAGGATACGGTGACCGAGGGCTTGTCGTTTATCAAGACCAAGATGCGGAATCACAACTTGTTCATTCCTTTCCGATATGGCGTGTACACGAATTACATTGATATCCTCCCCTCCGAAGAAGACGTAGTGTATGCAAACGGCCACCACACCACCGCCGAACATATGGGGCTGTTTCTGAGAACGGCTGCGTGTCTGAAGGATGCTGAGGCGCATGCTGAGGCCACGCGGTACATCCGAGAGGTCATGACATCGAAGTTGCTAGGGTTGACCAATTGGGCTATCGACAAGGATACACGCGGGCCGCTGATCCAAGCCTCTGGGGACGGGAGATCGGTGAACGCCAACGCCCCGTTGGACGATCTGCGTGTGGTACGGGGCTTGATGGAGGGTGCCGCACAGTTCCCAAACGAAGGGGTGGTAACGATGCAAGCCGCAGAGACGGCCTTGACTGGTTTGTACTGGACATCGGTGGCCGACGTAATGGCGTACGATGCAAGCGATGAAGAGGCTGAAGACATCCGCGTGTTTGTACTGCCCCAGTACAAGGGCGGGGTGATGGGCTATGCGTATGACTGGTCCGAGACAGAGGACTCTGCGTCTGGGGACGGAGTACTGGGTGTTGAGCTGATCCCCATAGACTATTCATACTTGACGACTATGGCGCTGGCAGCTCGCGTGAACCCAAGGTGGCTGTCAACACTTGAAGCCGCCACGCGAATGTTGCTCGACAGCGAGATTGGGAAATCTGGTTTGTTTTACAACGGGTTGAAAACTACCAAGGGCAAGCTGGGGTACACAGGAGATTTCGAATACCGCAACCTCACCGAAAGCAATCGAGGACGTCATCTCAAAACCATCCAGACAATGTGGATTGCTCTGCATCTGGGTGAGATTGGCATAAGCACAGGAGGAGGTCTCAGTTCAGGTATTCCATTACATATGTGCCACTGTTTGCACTCAAATTTATTATTATTATGTTACTGGCTGCTTCATGTTTCATCACGCTGATGTATGAAAAGCTCGATTCCCAGTATATTGCCAGCACAAATATTTTGCACGATTGAATTCTCTTATATTATAGCCACATTGGCAGTTGTCATACAAAAGCCTCAACTCAGCAGTTGGAGTTAAAATAATATTTAATTCCAACACAGACCTTACACGCCTGGCAAAGGCTGCTGCACTACGATCGCTGGAAGCGTTCCACAAGTTTTACACTGTAAATGATAAACGCATACCCGAGTATATGACTGTCGAAGGTACAGATGTGACCTCGGATAGCAAGTACCCCCTAGAGCTCGATGAGAATCTCTGGATTGGTGAGGTAGGCGCACTGCTTCGTATGTTGTTTTCATCTCGGGCTTTAGATACTATATACGTTAAGAGCACTACATTGCTTTCCATATTACGCACCTTCACTACTGACACAACCCGTAATTGATACATCTACTGCAGGCAAGGATATACTCTCAGTTTGCCAATCTGGCCTACACCTTGAATCGACACGATATTGCTATTGATATCATGAACGAGAGGGTCATTTCGGACCGAGTAACATCGCCAACAAGTCCGGTGCGCGGCTGTATCGGTGTCTCCGCTTCGACGGATAACTGCGAGGCGTTCAATACACTAGAGGCCTTGAATAGAATGTGCATTGTAGCACAAGGCGAGAGCTTGTCAGTGGCTCCGAAGTAATACGATCTATTTATTACCACACGAATGAATTTACGTAAAGATAAAAAATGAAGACTGTATAAAATTTGACATAGATTGGTTTAGGGATATATCATCACACATGTGAAGCAATTACTGATGCCATAACTGCTGCAAGGTACTCAAAATTGGACTGACTCGAGCTTCATTAATACTTGGCTTCAAATTAGAATAACATAGGGGGAGCAGCGGGAACTCTAGTAGTACAACGACGTCCGCTTCTGGCGGTTTGGGTTGATCAATACATTATGTATATATTGGATACAATACACTTGGATTGTGTACGTTGATGCTGTGACGGGGGTTGTCTATCGTCGATATGGCTTTTAGAGATCAAATTCACACTTCAGACGTGATTGTGTGCCATAAGTGGTTAGCCTAGCTTAACTCTGTTGATATGCACCACTTATAGGTCACAACACCGCTATGTAATGGCTCAGGTCATCATATATACCTGATTTGTAGGTGGACAACCGAAGACTGTGATTACAGATACATAAAATAATAGATTGTAAAATTGTGATTACAGATACATGAAACTTATTTTATTTATTCGAGCTTGTATATTAGATAATCTTGCATGATAAGCTTATGCGTATGAGCGTCCTCCAACTGTCGCACCAAATAGAGCTGGAATCTCCTCTAGAGGTACACCCTTGGTCTCTTTGATGAAAAAGACAACAAAGGCCAAATTGACGCAATTCAAACCACCGAAAACATAGAAGGTACCGGGTGTGGACCAACCCATCATGTGAGGGGTAATAAACACAATAACGGCGTTGAACAAGTACTGCCAGAATACAGCGAATGACATAGCTTTGTCTTTCTCTCTCATGGAGAAAATTTCCGAGGGATAGATCCAAGGAATCATTCCCCAGGCGAGCTGGAAACCGAAACCGTAAATGCAAACCATGACCATTGTGATGTAACCATTCCATGAAAGTTGTAGAGAAATACCACCAAGGATGAGGGGAGGGCCCATGATGAACGTGGCCCATAGCAACTGTCTGCGACGACCGCCAATCTTGGAATCCAGCATAGCCAAACCAACGGCACAACCGAACACCATGACAGCGTTCCAAATCATATTGAAGAGAAAAGGATCAGTCATACCAATGGCGGAGAAAATAGTAGATGCATAACCAAGGAATGCATTCACACCAGTTAGCTGCTGGGCGATCTGCAAGAAGACTCCGATCAGCATACGCTTGCGCAAGTTAGCCTCTGAGAATAGATCTCCGTACGAAACTGAACCAGCTTCCTCCTCTGCCTTCAACTGCTCGTAGATTTCCTGTGCTTCTGCGGTGATGTCTCCGCCGCGAATCTTGGTGAGGATGGCGGCTCCGTCATCATATCCCTTCTTACTCATCACGTAACGAGGAGACTCGGGTGTAAACCAAATTGTAACGGCAATGATGACACCAGGAACAGCGGGAAGCATAAGTCCCAAGTGCCAATTCTTGATGAAGAGTGTCACGATGGTAGCGATAAACGAGCCAAGCACAACATTCATTTGGAACATGGATCCAGTCATTCCGCGGATTCCAGGGGTAGCGATCTCAGAATTATACATGGGCAGTGCGAAGCAGCACACACCAACTCCAAATCCGGTGAGAAAACGAGCAGCAAAGAAGACGGGAACTGTGTTGAAAGAGAGCAGCGAGGAGAATACACATCCGACGCAAGTTACAACGGCCCCGACACAAATACACAATCTACGTCCGAAACCGTTGGTTAAGAATGGACCAACCAGCAGACCACCAGCGGCGGCTCCTAGAGTGATCAGGGTAGCACCCCAAAGAACGAAATCGTTGTGCCAGTGACTATTGTCAGCAACGAGTTGGGAACAGCAAGCCATATCATCGGTGATACCTGCACTGATACACACTGGCTCAGTGGCAGCGGTTCCTGCACAAGTTTCTTCAGTTCCTAATCCGCAAGTGTTCTGATCTCCGTAATCGTGTCCGAGACACCAATACTCCTGAAAATCGGAGAAACTCTGTACATTACCGAAATTTCCCTGATCTAGACCAAACATCATAGCTCCCAACATGGCAACAAACACAGCGATGTATGTTAGATTGTTAGGCTTGGCATCACGGGCGGCTGAATAACCCTGGTCGGCGACATCCGTTTGCGAGCCACCCAAGTGGGTGGTTGACTCTAATTCATCTTTCTTCTCCATTGTGCTTTTTTTTCTCTCCTAAGTGATAAGCGAGGTTGTGAGTGAACATACGCGAAACGCTTTCCATTTATGCGAGTCGACTTCACGAAGCCTTCTGGCCTTCTCTCTCTCAACGCGAGAGTAGTAGAGGTGAGAGACAAATAGGAAAAAGGGGGGTTTTTTTTTAAAAGACAAAAAAAAGTACTCTTGTATTTTACTTGTGTGGGAACTTGGTTTCCTTTTTCTTTGTGTTTTCAGTTTTGACCATGATGATGCCCCGGGTGGTGATGTGACAGGAGGTGTATGTATCAGTGATGGACGAGGGGATAACCATATAAGGAAACTTGACATACGAGCTTTTTCTATTGGCGACTACAGAATATTCCTGTTGTCTATGTATTATAGAGAAATTGTCCATTGTGGTATATTTAATTTTAATTTTTCTCTAGTAGTTATTAGAGAGAGGGTCCTCTACTAGTCTTCTACTCTCTCTAAGTAAATAGTAGTAGAAGAGAGAGAGAGAAGAGAGAGAGAGCTACAATACAGCGGCAGCCTATATACAAGTTCTATTTGTAACAACAGTAATCATAAACCAGTAAAATACAATGTACTTAACCTAAAACTGTTTTACGTTAAAACATAAATCGAATAAATATACATTTACGTTCAACTTTTATTCCAGATGCGGTGCTTTGTATGTTAAAATATGTGCAGCTTATGGGTCTAAACATTCAAGTGAGTACTAATATCACCTTTATATGAACCAGTCCTATAAAAGAACACGTAGGTAATTCTGATCACATTATAACCGTTATAACATTTTAAAACTAAATATATATGCGTTTACGTTCGTACCCCCATAGCGTTTTGAGTTTAGCTATGTACTACTAAGTCTACTACTTACTATCACTATGTATGTATTATTTAGTTTAGACCACAGAATAGAGTAAATAGTGTGTAAGAGAGCGAGAGAGTAGAGAGTATGAGCCTATGAGACTTTAAGAGACGAAGGTTTGGCGCTATGCACTTTTGAAGAGTGACAAGAATAAACTGAGAATCTATATATAATATAAAATTATTTGTATTTAGAAAATCCATTAATGGTAGATCTGACATGTGGATAATCAGTCCTAGCCAATAGGGAGCACTTGTATCTTTCGGCTGTTCTTTACTATTTCTACAGGTTTCTGGAGACTGGTCAGTGAGAGGTCAACTGGGTCACTTGTGGTGGGAGAATGGGTCACTTGTGGTGGGAGACTGGGACTCTGGGAGTGGGATAATTTCTAAATGCTCAATACGTTTAGCGTTTTAACTTTTATTATGCCTCGAATATATTGTTTTTTGTTAAAAAACAATATTGAAAATAGTTGTATCTGAGCCTACTTAACTTCTTTTTATAGGACTAGTTTGTATAGAAAAATCAGTATACACATATATGTTTAGACCCGCAAGGTGCACCTATAGGCATACAAAGGACCATATGTGGAATGAGTGTGTTCACTGTTCAGTGTTCACTCACAATCTCTGTACTACATTGTACTCCTCTCTCTACTACTCTCGAGTGACTAAACACTACTACAAAATAGTGTTCACTGTTCACTGTGTTCAGTCATCAACTCATCATTGTATCAGCATTTATTTTTACAAATAGTATTACATAATAATAATAAAATTGTTTTTTTTAAATAAATAGGATTCAGTCCCATAACTGATTTTCCATTTTTAGTGACGTAATAAACAATTATATATAATAGTCCCTATTGAGACTCTGAGACTCCGAGTTTGAGAGATACTGTATGGAATATCAGGCTCCAATGAAAGGCCTGTATATTGCAAACTTTCTGAATAAAGCAAATACACTCACCGCAAGACCACGAGTCGCGAGTGAGAATGGTTTTTTCCCAGAATTATGTCTCTACTATAGTAATGTCGCAATGAACTAGTAGCAGGTAACTAATTACATAAACAAATAGTTTTAACTAGTAGAGGACCCTCTCTCTAATAACTACTAGAGAAAAATTAGAGAGAGTATTTTGAGTTCGACGAATCAGAGAGAAGGAGTAAATGCATAGTGGATAAATCCTAGCCTTCTAAATTCAAAATTGCAAATTAAATATTATATATTTAGTGATTGTATATTTAGAAATAATGTGTTTTGGTTTTAAATATAAAACAAACCAAAAACAAAAAAATGCGAAACAAAAATAAAAATCATGAGCCATTGGACATCAGTTCATCAGTTCATCAGGACTCAGGAGTTAGGACACTCTACTACTAGTCCACACATTGCGAAAGTTGGAATGCCAATGGTTGGATGCGTATTATAAAATCAGAACCTTGAGGCTTGAGGTCTGGTGGTATTTTTATAAAAATCAGTGCTTTTATAAATATAAAAAAACAAAGTGGAAATTGGACACTGATGAGTGATGACGGAACAGCTGAAAAAACAAAACTATTTGTGTTTTTTAGGAAATTACAAAAACAAAATTTAACTTTGAGTCCACTGTACGTCTGTAAATACATTCTGTGAATACTATTTTATTTATAAAAAAAAGCCAACTAATGAGGTAAATATGGGACTGTATATATATTGGGCCCATAATATGATAATGGAGCCAACAGAAGCAGGTACAATAGGCAAAAGTAGTAGAGTAATAAAACCTAGTTTATGCAGTTTTTAGAAATGTGGCCTATTGGTCCATCATTACATAGTTTTTTTTTTTTTGCTTTTTTGTAAAAGCAAATTATATTAACTGATTTCGCCTCACTCTTGAAGACTCTGGAGTCTGGAGTCTGGAGTCTGGAGTGACTGTGACACTTGTTTCTTAGAAAATTTTCTACGAGTGTCCGATTTTAATTGAAAGTTATGTACAACTATTTTTTAGCCAAGGCCTCGAGTAATCTAATTTTTCAATATTAAAGCGTTAAAACGGTTATAGTGTGCTCAGAAAGGCCTACCGAAGTTCCTTTATAGAACTGGTTCGTTTTGTGAACATAATACACACTTGAATGTTTAGACCCACAAGTTGCACCCATGAGCATACATAGGACCGTATATGAAATAAAAGTTGAATATTTATAAGTTTTAAGATGGAAAACGGTTTGAGGTAAGGTAAATATATATATATATATATATATATTGTTTTACCCTCGTGTTGTGTGTGTGTGTGTGTGTGTGTGT